AATAGGCGTTAGCCCACCTACCTCATCCCATGTTTTGAGCCCCCTGATCTGTTTCACACCTCAGAGGATTGTGGCTCGTAGAAAGGGATTAGGCCTGGGCATGGCGCTTTCAGCAGTCAAATAGTGAGGTGTTTTAACGTTAAAAGACCATTTGGACGTTTCTCAAGATAATCTGTTTAGAGTCTAGAGATCATTGGTATGCAGACCTTTCGGCTAGTTTGGGGTGATCAAGCAGACCAGATGGCTTCAGCATGTGCCATTCAGAACAGTTCCTTCACATCTTAGCAACGTTCTTGGACTGAGGACTTTTCAGTTGGGAGTATCCTGGGTGAATTCAAAAGCCCGGAGGCCACTCCCTATGCGTGTTGCCCAGAATGGGGTCCTTCAACACACAAGAATCTGTGTCATGGGGATTCCCACAGAGAGACAGCCCCATATGACCCCTGTATAGTCCCTATAACCCCTACATATTCCCTATAACAGCTACATAATCCCCACAACCCCTCCCCCCTGATTTGTTGGAAGTGCCCTTACGAAGATGGGCTTTCCTTGAGCTTTCCTTTCCTCAACGAAGATTCAGGGCCTGGTCCCTCACATGGGGATTTCTGAAATTAGGAGCCCCAATTGGTGGGTGCCCAGAATAGTGATCACAGGAATTGCGGTCTATTTGGGGGATCGCTGTTTCAGGAAAAGGCCTTGTCAAGTTGCATGGTGATTCCCTTGAACCAAAGAGGCTTGAAGCTTCTTTTCAGAGCAAGCCTTGGCATCAAGGCGAGTTCATCACGTTCCCCATTGAGCTCTGGAACGAGAAGGCGCGGGAAGAAGCCTTTCATGAAAACTCTCCGAAAAAACGGAGCTTGTCAGCATTATGGGTTCCCTTGATGGGGGCTCTTTTGGTGTGTAGGTGGCATCCCGAATCCCGGTACATGATGGAGGTCCAAGGTGGAGGATGTTCCAGGAATACCCTACGCCTCCTGAACCCTAAACCCTATGATTTAGGTTTTTTAGGGTCTAGGTAGGAAGCCACGTATAGCCCCCCCCCCCGCTGGTTACTGTTATAGACAACATTGGTGTTTCGCGACATGACTACCTAGCTTAGGGTAGAGTTTGTGACTGCAAGAGATGGGCAGTTGTACCGTAGGGATCAAACAGGTGTTTCGTGTATGCCTGCCTGGCTTTAAACCCCAAAGCTCCAGTGCCGCCAATCTCAACCCTCGGATCCTTAGCCCCAGCATTAGCCCAAGTAACCCTAGACGCTAAACCCTTCCCTGCAGCCCTGATGCTAAACCTTAAGCCCTAAACCTGAAACCTAAGCCCTAAACCCCAAAACCCTAAACCCTAAACCCATATTCTCTGAACTATCCCCTGGAGCCGTGATGCCTACACCCTAAACCCAGATCCCCGCAACCCTGATCCCTACACCCGAAGTCGTGGAACCCTAAACCTTCAATAGTAGTTTCCATTTTCCATTATCCCTATATATCCCCTATTGAACCCCAACCCTAACTCTAAACCCTCAACCCCAAAACCCTAAACCCTAAACCTTCAATAGTAGTCTCCATTTGTCCAGTATCCCTATATACCCTATATAACCCCAATCCTAACTTTAAACCCCAAACCCTGAAACCCTAGACCCTAATCCGTGGAACCCTGAGTCCTGACCCTGGCGAGGTGCAGTACGATCAGGTTCCGGATGAGTCGGCTCCGCCCCCCAAGGAAGGTGAGAAGCAGCTGCTCGATGTTTGCTTATGTTCTGATAGGGTTTGTACAAGGGTTATATAGGGGTTATATAGGGATTATCGACAAGAACATGGAAGCTACTATTGAGGCTTTAGGGTTAGGATTTGGGGTTTAGGGTTATGCTCTGATAGGTTTTCAGGTTCAGGATTCAGGGCTTATAGGGAAATACCAGGTAGCAACGCCAACAATGGAGGATGACATTGAACATGAAAGGGAAGGCGGTGTAATTCAGTGGTTTATTGAATTTAGGGTTTATAGTCCCGCTTAAGTAGATAGAATATGGGGTATATGGGGATCTTATTCTGCTGTACCCAAAGCCACATTCTATCTACTTAAGGGGGACTACATGTCAGGGAGACCTAAGCTATCTCCGTGTACTATCTATCTTAGAGAACACTGGCGTTTCGTAGTATGCTTATCTGGGCCATCTTGCTATGGGCCTAATGCGGGGATGGAAAAGGAAATGGCAACTACCATGTTGGGCTACGGATAGGCTTCGGGGGTTTCTCAAAAACTCTAGTTGGATAGGGGTTTATCTTGTACCTATGACCAGAAATGAACCTCCAAGCCAGGCTTCGAGTTCCTGGAGCTAGGTTTATGGTGCTTCATGGGGCAGGATCAATTTCTTTTCTTGGGGGTTTAGGAGTTGGATAATATTTTTTATTGTAGCTACAATATAGCCCCTAATATGACCCGTAGTGTATACTGTTACCGGGTGGGGGCCAGTACCCAAGGTTTACGGGTGTTTCAGGCTTGGAGTTGAAGATTCGGCCTCGTGGTGTGTTTGCATTTTGGAGATTCTTTGCATGGATATACTTTGCGTGGTACACGCCCCACCCTGTGACAAATAACGCTTTGTACTCTGCGACGTGGGAGAGGGAGGTCATAAGATGTGGTGCTAGTCGTTTGCAGTTTCATGCTGGGATCCAGGATTCCGAGACACCAGAGTGTGTATACATATAGATAGATATGTATGTATGTATGTATGTATGTATGTATCTGTTATCTGAGTGCTTGTAGGATATTGGTGCCAAGTGGGAGATGAAGACTTTCGGGATAGTTTTCATGTAGTTCTCATTGTCAAGATTTGCTAACACGGTCATTTTGTCGTCTAGAGGGGACTTGGGAGCAGGGCAGAACAACGACGTTGAGTGCGTGATTGTTTTTTGGAGACATGCAGTCCTCATCCGCCCTACAACCCAAAGCCCTAGATCCCAAACCAGTGTCTGGACGCCCCCAAAAACCAGGGACGAAAAGCCATCACCAGCCATAACCACGGCTCAGCAATCAAACCCCTTTGCAGTCTCCTTTGAATCCGCCATCGTGCCTGCACCATCCTTATTTGCGCTTAGAGTGCATTCATTTCAGACTCTGAGGAAGATGAAGAGTGTGCCTCGTTCCGTTACGCATCTCAGCTGACTAGCACTGCCCTGAAAATTCTTGAGGGAGGAGCCCGCGAAAACCTTCAATTTGAAGTGAAGATCTGCCCTGTAGGGTTTAGGGTTCATCTAAGGCAGCTAAAAGAGAAGACTTACCCGTAGGGAGTTCATACAAGCCTCTATATATGTGCCACACATGCGAATTTTTGATATTTTGGGGTGTATGGTGTGTCCGCAGGTTTACAGGGTCTAGGCTTCTTTTGTTTTTTTCCCGGAGCTTCTCAGCTTTGAGTACTAAAGCCGGAAGCAAGGAGTGGGATGTCATGAACAAGATGAAGCCCATCTGGTTGCGAAACCCTGATGTGGTCAACGAGTCGGAGTACACTGAGTTCTACAAGACGAGCCTTGGACGGTTTCAGTTAAGGTCGTAGCACGCAGTACCACTACCTCTGACCCATGCACCTCGGTTCCAATCATTTGGCACTGCGAAAAGTTGTGTGTAGATTCCGTGCCACAACTCAAACATGAGGGAATGATATGTGTAGGATGCCCTAAATAGTGGTTTCCATTTTCTGTTCCATTATCCCTATATAAACCGTATACATCCTTGTATAAACCCTATAGCCTATAACCTCAATTTGACCCCCCCCCGATTGAGGAATCAACCACAAGACCATGGACCTATGGACCTGCAAGCCCCAACCCGCTTTTCAGGACCTTCAAGGCTTTCGATGAGCCGCTCACAACCACCCACTTCAAGGCAATAAGCTCTTTTCTCTAAAGGGCTTCAACGAATGAGGTCTTCGCGGGGGATGGGTGTACAGGGTATGGCGATGATTGCAGGGGTTCGTATCTCGTCCTATATTCCATTCCGCAGTTCACCACAAGCATGCGTACCTGGCAGCCCAGGCATCCTGGGATGGTTGCTAGGAAGAAGTCTAAACCATGGAATCCAAACCTCAGTCATGTTCTTCAGTTTTTGCACTATTTCAAGTGGATTTTCTGAAGAGATTCATGTAGTCATTCTGCAGAGAAGATCGAGGGCCGCGAGCGACGATTTCCAGACCTGATCTCTTGACAACTTCCTTCAGAAAAGATTTTTGACGTTCTGGGTTTGCAGCATTTCCTGCTGGCACGAAGTCTTATCTGAGCCGTTTCGTGAACCATTGATGCATCAGGGATCCAGCGCATCTTTTGGCTTCAATGGCTTCGGGGAGCGCTTCTTGACGAGAGCAGGCATTCAGTTCATTTGAACGCTATACCATTAGCAATCTGAACACATCCCTCTTGAAATCATAAAAGCACTCCTGTCCCCGACAGTCAGACTGTTAAGTTTCTGGGATCCTTTTTGGATATCCAGAATCCAACAGACTTTCCAGAAAAACCGGGTTGCTATTAAGGAACTTAAATTAACTTACCATAATATGGGTATATCGTAAATAATAGGGCTCCCTGATTATCGCCTTAATTTAAGTTCCTTAACAGCAACCCAGCAGTGTCGGACTCTAACCCTATATACTCCTTATGTAACCCCCTATATAATCCCTACATACCCCCTAAACCCTAAACCCTAAATCCCATATAACAAGCAGGTTGAGGGGCAGATTGAGTTCCGGGCCTTGCCCCTTGGTTGGAACACATCGTCTGTCATGCGTTCAAGGCTTTTGTGCTGCCTTTTGAACTCTGTTGCGGGGGAGTGGTACCAAACGTGAAGTTCTGGAGTAATTTAGGGGCCTAAATACTACGATCCTAGATCGATTTCATAATTTTGGGACAGGTTACCTCAAATCGACCTCTACATGGTATTGGTGCCTAAATGTTTCGGCCCTTACAGCATGCTAGCAGTGTGCTGCTCTGCCGAGGGTCTTCATCCCTACCACGATGCCCTTCGAGCTCACCCGCGATATGTTCTCCCCTGAGGGCCGCGCCATGCGGCTCTACGTCGCTTGGCCGCACTGACCTATACACTCCTATAGAACCCGGGTATAACCCCATCTAATTCATATATGTATATATATGGTGCATATACATATATAGGACCCTTAACCCCTATGTGCCTAAAGAAGGGATTAGAACAGGTAAACCCCTACAGGAGTATGCTTCAGAGTTCATTCAGAGTTCAGGGATGCGGGACGAGTGCGGCTTTGGGCTCACGGACTTTGGCAACTCTGACCAGACCCGGGATAATGGAAAAGTAAATGAAAACTGTAGGGACTATAGGGATTATATAGGGATTATATAGGGTTATAATATTGGGGTTAAATTGGGACAATGGAAAATAAAATGGAAGCTACTATTTAGGGTTTAGGGATTATACTATATCCCAGACTCGCTACAGGATCCAGAAAATGGACCCCCCCAATATGAAACCGTTATTACACTGGGGGAAATTAGGGGATCATAAGAGAATCAAGCAGAAAAGAAGATCCAACATGAACTGGAAACTGGGTGTTGCAGGGCTAATATAGGGTCGAATTCCGGTGTTAAGTCTTTAGAGTATCCTGAAAAATAGGATTTTGGTTACCTTGTGGCTGTAGAGGCGTGAAAGCTCGAACTGCAGGAGGGTAGCGCAGAACAGCAGAGGTCAAGCGCGTGTTCATCAACGACAAGTTCGAGGAGCTGCCCTCATTCGATCCAACTGCACGCTTCAATTTTGGAAGTATTGCCGCCTGTTGACCAGTATTCATAGTAATGCTACTTATGTGGTCACTCATGATGTCAAGTATTCTACATATTGGTATACCGTGAGTAATCAAAGATTACAGTCTCCCTCCTTTCAACAAGCTACGGCATTTTCTTTTTCCTGATGGGACTTTGTGAGCTGCCGTCCCAGGTTGTCTGTGAACCCCCATAGCCCTGAGCCCCTGGCCTGTGAAAGCCTTTGAATTCATAGCCCCAAGCTTCGAAAGCCCTTAGAATTCAGCCCTAAGCTTCAAGACCCCAGATTAAAGTCCTGAGGTTCAACAAGGCTTTACAGAACGCATTGGCTCATGTCCCTGGGCTTCAACGCCCTAAAGGGCCCTTATAGGGCTCATGATGAGAAATTCCCTAAAGTCTATGAGGACTTGGTCCCTCGCTGGATGACCTTTGCCCGCGGCGTCGTCGACTCTGAGGACCCGTTTCTAAAAGTTGGAGTTTCCTAAGATGACCCCGCATAAGCTTCCCTTCAAAGGGGGGTGCAGGGGTTGTATAGGGACGTATAGATCAGGGTTTAGGGCTCATTATCCTTCATAAGGGCCCCCAGAATCACCATACATATATATATATATACACATCCTGGGATCCGTTTCAACAAAACCCAAGTAGACTGGCATGAGCGGTGATGACAAAAGCGCATGAAATCATAGCATTGCGCCTGGAATCCCTTCTGACGACTAACACCATAACTCCAAAGGACAGAATACAAGAAACAACATCGATAACACAGCCTAGTACCAAACAAACGGATTGGCAGAAGTGATGATGAGGATCATGAGTTCAAGTAGACGCATCGCCAGGATAGCGAACCTTTAGTATTGAGTCGGTTGCTAAGGTCGTAGTAGCAACGGTAAATCGCCATGTGGCCAGAACTGAGTAGCAACAGAAGTTGTAATGACATTCGACATTAACAATCTGACATTGACAGTAGCAACACGACGAATCAAGTCTCGATGATGACGGTACTACTGGAAAAGATAGTGGCAGTGCCGAACCTAGGATGCGTTTCAGTTTTGAGAACGAAGACAACAGCCGCACTAGGAGTTCAACAGCTAGCGTATCCCTAGCAGCAAAATTGGGCGAAAGCTTCAGCCCTGAGCATTTCTTGGGCGTGTCCAGATGAAGCTTCTAGGGTGGATGCACGAAATCTTGCGCCAGCTAGGGTCCCCGAAACACACTGTACTTTCTAGGATATACTGTACATAGCTGGGGCAAGCTTTACTCCACCGACAATATCTTGGGGAGGTTCAGGGTTCGAGGTTTAGGGAATTTTGAATGGACGGGGCCTGATGCAAAGACCCGATTTCATATTTGGCATGCACCTGAGTCCCTCAACTGTTGCAATCTGCATAGTTAGCTACAGTGTGTAGAACCTTCTGCTCCGAGGCTTCCCAAACCCAGCCTTGTGCAGACGAGCTGAGAAGGACCTGCCGCTGAACGTGGGTCGTGAGATCCTGCAGAAGAGCAGGACTCTCAAAATCATCCGCGCCCTGGGCACAAATGGTGGTTTGTAAAAATCAGGGCTCCCTTTTTTTTGAGGTGACCATTATAAGGGCTCTCAATTTCTGAGGCTGGCACATGTGCTTCGAAAGGTACTGGCCCCCCCCCCTGTTTCTGGAAACCCTCAAATCCTTTTGCGAGTGTTGTCAGCAGGCTCCGACACAAGCAATGCAGCACGATGTGCATGATCCATATCCTTGTGAAAAGGAGCCCTGACCCTCCAGCTTTCATCCAAACCAGGTAGGGCGCTTGCGCAGCATGATCAAGGGAAGAGTTGTGAAATGCCGAAGGTGTCCTGCCAGGGCTAAACCCTACACCCTGAACACCAAACGCAAAACCCTTGTTAAGGTCTTCTTCAGATCGTGCCGTCATCTAGCCGTCATTCGCCAGAAAAGACCACCGTACATTCGGTTGAGTCAAAATAATAGCCCTTTTGTGGGGGCAAAGTATAATACGGCCCCGAATATATAGGGGACTTCAAAAAAGGACCACAATTTTGACAACCACCCATATGAATTCATTCCCTTTTCTTTGCACAGCTCCCAAGGCAAGCGCGTGGTGCGGAAGGTCCTGGACACCATTGACGACCTGCGGGACCCTGGACTTTTACACATAGATCCGAACCACCCCTGCAACCTACTAGTGGCTAGTAGGGAACAACGGAATACAATCGCAAATTATCTATTCCCATTTTCCTTGTTAAGCACCAGTAAGACAACGGCCTGGCAGAGTACGTGGGCGACTGTTTTTATTGTGACTGGGGCCCGCTCACTCATCTTGTTTGCTGACTACCCGCCCTTACAGCCTAGTGCAATGTAGAAGCTTGAAGCATTACCAAAGTCATGTGCAAGTACAAAATGACGTACCCCACCACCTTGGTTAATGAAACAGGCCTCTACGCTGCGTCGCTGGAAACGATTATTGTCCTGTTGTGGAATTCAAACTAGGCGTGGTAACTCTGAACCCCAAACCCTAAACCGTCACGGCGAGAATATGTGCCCAAAACCATGGCCCCTTTACTCGGTTCCTTTTGAGGAATTTGAATGCTAACGGTATTAGGAAGCCATGTTAACATGAATTACTTTGTGTCCATGTTATGGCAGCTGAATTTGGTAGTTCCTGGAATCCTGAATATTGGGACGCCCAAAAATCCTAAATTCGCTTCAGTTCCATCTATTGTTTGGTGAGATGGATACATCAGGGCTGCTGGTACAAAGAGGGCCACGGACGGCTGAACCCCTTCATAAGCACGGTTGGAACCCAGCAATTTGGGGTTCGCAAGAGATTTGAAGTAACCTCCTGAGCTTTCATGTAGAAGGGCTTAGCTGAACGGCAGCGCGGGCGTCGCGCCTTCAAGGAGCTTCAGGCCACTAAAGGGGCAAGTACTACCACACGCGAAATCCCCTACCTGAGTTTTCAGACTTGTCAGCTGGGTGTAGCTAGCTGAATAGCCACTTCACCGAGGTTCAAGGCATCCGGAACCAAGAGCAGAGGGTCTCGGGTTAAGAGTTTCGTGTTTAGGGCTGAGGGATCAGAGTCTGGGTGGTAATGGGTTTTGGGGATTCGTGTTTTGAGGGCTTGTGGCGTTGTGGGATGTAGCTTCCAGAAAGCCAAGGGGTTCGAAAAGCAAAGCCCCAAAGACAAGAGATCCTTGGTTCCTTCCCTACCTACCTGACCACTACCTACCTCTCAATCAGCTTATCTACCTGTAAGAAGATAGATATCTATACCGTATCTTGACATGTGTGCACATCTGGGCGGACGTAGGTATGCTCATGTGGGTGCTCCATGTTTTGGAAACTCCCATATCCAAACCAATCGAGAATCCTTGTGCAAGGTTCAGGGTGTAGCGTTTAGATTTAGCCTCCCATGCAGCAGGGTTTTATTCGGGTTTTGGGTGAGAGTAGATAGGGCTCCTTAGGATTTGTTTTTGAGTGTATGTATTCTACTTCGGCGGCCATCATTTATAGAAACAGCATGGGCCATATCTTCCTTCAGCAGCAGCTCGCAGGAGAACGAGCCAGCGAAGTTCGAGACCTTCTGGACAAGCTATGGCAAGTACTTCAAGGTTTGCAAGGAGTAAACAGTATAGATGTATCTGATGATATAAGGGATATGTAGGGATCAGTGGGTTTAGGACTTTGGGGGCTCAGAGTTTAGGGCGACTTCTGTGCTTAGCTTCTTCGTTCATCTGTATGCATTGGTGAGGATCAAGATTTGCACAGTTTTTTGCGCCTGGAAGCTACAAGAGCTCCAAGCACAAGTCACGCTGTTAGTGAGCTAGACAGAAATTCATGTTGTGAGTCCTCAAATATGGGTCCTCCTCGGTTGGGCCCCCTTGATGCTTCAGTGGTCTACGCTCCCGCAGCCGCCATCCACATAGTCAGCGCATCAAAGCCTACAGGGGTAGACTTGAAGATGATTAGCCTTGAAGCGTTAACCCCTATATAATCCCTATACACCCGCTATGAACCTGTAAAACGGCAGTTTTTCATGATGCCGAAACTACCCTCAACCCTGAGCTTCCCAGCCCTTTCCTGGGCATATCTTATGGGAGGGTTGCGGGCACGCGAAAAGTCATGCTCGAAGTGTTTTGAGTATTTGGGCCACAGGGTTTTACAGTTAAGGACCTCAGGGGTCGAGGGTTTATGCCCAAGATAATCTGGAGCTTGACAAGCCACTTTACTAACAAAAGTCTGCGGTCCTTCTAGAGAGGATTCTACCAGCTTCCATGCTTAGTATTGTTGCAAGGCACTTTCGCCCTGTAAAGCTGTCTGAATGAGGTTCCATGTTAGTTGGAGGAAGGAAACCTTGGGTGCAGTCAGCTGGCATGAAATCTGCTTTGAAAGACAATTTCGGCATGTTAGAATCTGATCATGGGAATTCCCAAAGACGGCCTCCCAATGTTCCACGGACTCCAATAAAAAAGTTTCGGAGAGCGAGGTTAAGAGGAGTGCGAGTGCGAAGATCTTATTGAAAATGCCCTGGTGAAGCTGTACTGGGAACATCTTGAATAAGAGCCTGAATTGAGTACCAGAGCAGATCTTGCAACCGATCCTGTGCCAAAGTTTTCCTAGGATACCTTGCTGAAGCTCGTCTGAGCGGGGTTACGGGTCAGATGGCGATAGCTGCAAGCTAATTCAGGACATGCATAGCTTGACTTGAACTACTCATGAACCATACAATATGCCTGAACTCTTCGATCCCCTCACCACCCACCACCCAGGAATGAATATTTTGCGATGTATTATAATGCAGGTTGAGTAGCATCTTTATTCGGGGGATGGAGGTTTGAATGTTTAGGGGAGGAGATTTATATAAATCCTGAACCCGAGGGGGCTTATATAAATCCTGAACCCTAAACCCTAAACCTCACGTTCTGGGGACATTTCCGAAGCTCATGCTGAGAAAAAAAAGGTGCTGTTAAAAAACAACCTAAATCTCGAATCTTCAAACGCGTATCAGGTGGGCCTGGTCGAGGACCTCGACTACAAGGACAGAACACGATCCTCCACGCGGTTTGGGGTTAACTGGGGGGTTGCTGTTAAGGAACTTAATTTAAGGGACTATAATTATTGGGGAAACCGTATTAATTACTATATATATACCCATTATGGTAATATAATTATTGGGGAAACCGTATTAATTACTATATATATATATATACCCATTATGGTAATTTAATTTAACAGCAACCCACTTTAGGGTCATGAGCTAATTCTGAGCCTCCCCCCAGGGTTTAGGGTTTAGGGTCCCCCAACAAATTAATTGAGGTTGCTAGGTCTTGATAGGGTGTCCATCTCAAATGAGACGGTTCAAGGTGTAGGGTTTACTTCGAGGTTCGTGGGCGAGTTAACCAGTGTTTATCCTAATGACCTTCGCCTAAGAATAAACCTTCCCGCCCCCCTAATTTTCACCAGAGAACATACTTGTACTAATTATTGATGCAGTAATAAATATTATCAAGGTGTGGGGATTTTTTATTATTGCTACAATTGGAAGGGAGGGGATTCTCGCATATAGTTGGCCCGTGAACCTCCCAGTAGGGCCCGCCAATGGCCTGGGCAAGTCGAAGTAAGGATTCTTGAGCAATGCCAATGCGCAAATGGGTCTGCAGGTGCCAGACACTCCTCGTTTAAAATGTGTTTCCATTTAGGGGTTTCCAGCAGTTCCCATATTGCACTTTCTCAAAGTCATCACCTACCGCCAACATTAGCCCCCGCACCCCCTCATATCAGTATTTCTGCTATCAAAGTATACCACAATGGGCCACAACGGGAAGTTTTCATGTAATTGTGGGGGGGATACTGAGGGTATACTTATGTTCGAAAATTCCTCACTGCGTGGAAGCTTGGTGGGGTCATTCAGAATAGCTCCCAAAGCTGTAAAGTTTGCGATTGAATCAGATCTGTTTCTGAGTGGGCATGTATGGCAAATTCTGCTTCATAGGATGAATCCTAGAATCATGAGGCACTGCTGTTTACTTGGTGATGAGTAGAGAAGCACGAGCGAACGGATCCCCATGACAGTCCATGTAGAGTCCTAGTGCTAGTTCTTGAACCCCTTCCCAACTCAGTACCAACCACGCTAAACCCTAAACAGCCTTGAATTTTCCATTCTCTTTACATCATTTTTCGTTCCCCATTCCCACTAAGCGCGTGGGAGCTGTTTGGCAGGATGAGCTGAAACGCTTTGTGCGCTTCTGGTCCTCGAAGAGTGGAGACAACCAGATGCCTGGACAATTCTTGGGGGTAAAGGGGCATAGGGCTTAGGGTTATAGTCCCCCTTAAATCGATAGAATATGGAGGGTAATATTGGGATAATGAAGCAGAAAATGGAAACTATGATATTATATGATATTATAATAGGGTATGCATGGGGGTTAAAGTCCTTAAAGTAGATAGAATATGGGGTAAATGGGGATGTTATTATAATATAACCAAAGCCATATTCTATCTACGCAAGGGGGACTAAGGAGGCAAGAAAGGTGATTGCTGGAAGCCACTAATGGAAGCAAGAAAATATCCCGCACGCGGCCGCGATGAAGGTGACGGGTATGTGCTTCAGCGTGTTTAGGAAGGGTCTTGGCAGGTCGTGTTGGACAGCTAGCCCTGAAGTAGAGCGCTCCGCCACGAAACGCACGTGGCCTCGCCACGGTCATGTGGACATGCCGCAAGGCGCTGAGAGGGAAGAGCCTGGCAAAGACACGGACGGAGAGCAGCACAATGTTGATGTGAGGGTACCAGGTACATACGTGCCAACTCTGCCTACAGCAGCCGCGTGTCAGCAACGCAGAGGGCTAGACTGTCCGGGTGCCTGCTGCGTGACTCAGCAGCACATCAAAGTGCAACGAGGACAGACCAGCAGCAGTGTCAGCCAAGCATGAAGGCCTATGCCCAGGGCAGGTCGTCATTGGGTTCAAGAGGCAGGCGCAGGCTGCGGCCATGTCTGCGGAAGAGTTCTGGGAGGCCCCGAAGATCTGGAAGGCCCTCGAAGCCCTGCAAGGCCCCGAAGATCTGGAAGGCCCTGGAGGCCCTGGAGGCCCTGGAAGACTGAAAGCCCCGCTACCTCTTGACGACCGTCGGCCTGCTGCCTTGCGTCGAGTCTACAGTGTGAGGTTTTCAGGGTAGCAATCTGGGGTACCCACGCAGAATCATAGAGGAGGCGTTCTCAACGTTTCAAAGTTCAGTCGCTGCTGCGTGGCGCCTATCTTGGTAGGATTCAGGTATGAGTTCCAAAGGGTCCAGGTTGTGAGGTTAGCACGTTGCCCCTCCCTAAGTACGTCATTCCAAAGCCCCCACACAACCCTAAGCTGAAAGCACATTGCTGAGTAGGTAACCCTGAACCATTGTTGACTAAGTAAGTCTACTTACTATCCTCAAGAAGGCCTACTATAAGCCCCACAACCCTTCTCACTATGCAGACTCGCTCAGTCAAGAGAGCCTCTAGGTAGACAGCCTTTTCAATCCTCGTGCCCAGTTTTCGCAGACCCAGGCCCTAAACCTAGACCCTGTTGACCTTGCCACGAAACCCCTCCACCAGTAAATTCTACGCCTTCACCTCTACATCCCAAAGCCTAAACTTTGACCCCAAATCCTAGACCTTAGGCCCCAAATCATAAGCTCTTTTCTGGCACCTCCCCTCAAAACCCTCAAAACCCGAAAAGCCTAGAAACCTAAAACCCTAAACCCTTTTGCCAAGGACTAGCCTTGATGAGTACATCGGCCGCATGAAGGAGGGCCAGGACAAGCTGCTGGGACCGCACTAAGGAGGATATGGGGTTTGGGGTTTAGGGTTTAGGGATCTACAAGGGTTTTATATAGAGATACATGAGCTGGGTTATATGGGGTTTAGGGTCTAGGGTCTAATTTCCTTGAAGGGGTATATAAAGGGGATTATATAGGGGAGTATAATAGGGCTTATTGGGGGGGATATTGGGAGTTTAGACTATAGAGGATAGAAAGGGGTATTGACGGTATTGAGGGATATCTAGGAAAATATGAGGTTCGTGTTCAGGGCTCACCCTCCCATAAATTAACATGGAGCCCAAGTAAGGCCTAACACAGACTAGAGTCCTTTTAAAGTGGATCTATACAGTTTCTGTCCATGTATGTTTGAGGAGGTTTAGGGCCCATCATGTACTACAAGGAGTATATTCCCCTCATAGTGCAAAAAGCATGTGAAGGGCGCTCCTTGAACACGGACAAGCCTTCACCCCCAGGATTTACTTCGTGACGGGCGAGGGACGCCGGGCAGCAGAGATTGCGCCAGCTATGGAGAAGATGCGTCAAAAAGACTACGAGGCACAGAGCTGTTTGGGGTTTAGGCTTTGGTGCTGACATCTGGAGTCCAACCAAGTGCCCAGCTCATAAAGCAAAGTGTTGAGGGTTCCAGTTCTAGGTTGCAGGGTTCAGGGCTTCGCGTTTTGTGTGGAATTCGCTGCGCAGCGCAGGGTTGCTCCTGGGTTTTGCCCCAATTAGCAGAGGAGGGATGCGCAACAACATGCATGGTGTGTAGGGAGTACACGGACAGGTAGCTCAGAATGTTTTAGACATTGCATGACATTGCCAAGCATCTCGCGCTTGCAAGTGTTGTTGTGGGGATTGTCGCCTAAATGGGTACAATCCGTGTTCTTGCTCTGGGTTCCAGGTACAGGGCAGGCTGCTACCCATGTATTCTCACAAGCTCCGCGCTGCCTGTGGCTACCAGGGATTTAATGCATGCCCGTGACGAGGTCTTGTACATGGTTGATCCCTTGGATGAGATTTGCAGCCAGAGTATTGTGGACTATGAGGGCAAGAAGCTCGTGGACATCAACAAGGCCGATGCAAAATGTTTAGGGTCCTACCTACAGAACTTTAAAACTCTGGTTCTCTTTTTGGTGGACTGCCCTAAGCCCAAATCCCGAAAATGGATACAAATTTATAGGGATGAGTGTTAGGGATGTCATAGGGGCCCACTACGTTGATGCATTTCTGGTTGCCCTACGAACCACCAGCTGGCTACCCTTTTCCCCAATCGAAAGGAATCGAAAGGCGCCGTTTTAAAACGACAGCGTCTTGACAGTGCCCTTTTTGGGGGGCTAAATGGTAGTTTCCCAAAATAAGGGGACCCCAATATAGACCCCAAAATACCATAGTCCTTAATATAGGGACCCCCAAAAGGTACCCCTAATTTTGGGAAACCCCCAAATATTCCATTTTAGGATGGCAAGCCTTCAGTCCTAAGCATATTCCCATATATCCCGCTTTATCCCCATCGACCCCTAATATGAGCTATATTCTAAACTCCTTAAAGGGGGTTATAGAGGGGATTATATAGGGGTACTACTATAGGGGTTGTTAAGGGGGACACTAGGAGTTTAGACTATAGCTCATATATGTCCAAGTATCCCTGCACGAGCTCTCAGGCAGGACTTGATTTTGACAAGAGCGAAGATGAGAAGAAGGATATGGAGGACTTGGGTTTGAAGGTTGTGTAAGGGGGTATTTACACAGGTTTAGGGTTGAGGGGCTGACAGTGATATAGGGGATAACCGTTACAATAGTGGAGACTCAAATGTCAAAGGTTCAAATGGAAAATGAGATGGAAAATCGCATGGATATCAGGGTTGTATAGGGGTGACTGCATCGAGTTGGTAAAGTGCAGTGAGCCCCCAGAACATGACCAGGTCACCACAGAGTTCATGAAGCACACAAACCCCCTCAACAATAAATCCATGAAACCCTTGAAAAACCTGTAACGCAGCTTGAGAATGATGCCGGCAGCTGGGTGTCCCTAGGAGTCTTGTTAGGGAGCTTCGATTTCTCAGAGGTTTTGAAAATTGCCAGGACAAGGTGAAGGAGTATGAAGGCGTGGCCACGTGGCTGAAGAAGCAGCTGGGCGAGAGAGTGCAGAAGGTGCAGGTCTCTGCGGCTTGACCGATAAGTCTGGGTTTCCTACCTGAAGAGCCTAGTGTAGCCCTTGTAATATACCCCCCAGCCTCCCTGTACAAGCCTCATGCACGCCTTATGTACAGGAACCTGATGACTCTTCTCGGAGCGTGTTTAGAAAATCTTCAGCACGAACCCTTTTAATTCCTCTGTAAGCCCCATGTACCCTAGGGTCCCTGAAGGTACCCAGTTGAAGCAACCCCATGGGCCTGAGGAAGTCCTTGTTGTTACGTACGGGCTGGGTTTTGGGCTCTTCTTTTTTTTGGTCGCCTAACTGTTGATTGATGCATGGGTACTGAGCCTCAAGGGTACGTAGAGCCCAAATAGAGTCCTGCAAAGGCATGCGGCAAAAAAAATTGAGCAGTGCCAGAAAAGAGTCCTGAGGCACAGAAGGTGCGCAGAGCCCCAGAAAAAGCCTTGGCACAGGTACAGGTTTTGGATTGTGTTCAGGTAGTGAGAGGGTCGGATCCTAGGACTCTGCAGCAAGCCTCGTCTCAGGATCGACTGGTGGAGTCTATGGCGACCCTCGTCCAGGGCCACTCGGTTTGCTTGCAACGGTCAGGATGTTATAGGCTAGGGCTTACTATATAATGTATAGGGGTTAAAAAGGGGCAATGTTGGGATAATGGAAAGAAAGTGGAAACTATTACGTATATTAGAATAGGGTATATATAGGGATTATTTACAGTGTTATGACCGGGACATGTTGGTCGGCGCTGACTGCAAAGGTTGAATAGCATTCTGAATGTGGATACCGTCCCAGTAAGCTCATGTTGTCCCTTTGGTTGTCGGGCTACAGAAAACAGTCTTTGTTTCACCTGAGTCATTTACTAAAGTCTCAAACCCACAACCCAGCCCAAAACCCCAAATCCTGAACTCCAAACCCTATACGGTAAACCTTCTACCCGAAACCTGAGACCCGACACCCTAATTCTTAACCACCCTGAAGCCCAGGTGAGTGGGGTATGTCGCCCATGATGCAGCGCTACATGAAGTCCCAGCCCTCCGGCTCGCCAAAGCCATGGAAAAATTTACGTTTAGGGTTTAGGGTTTAGGGTTTAGGGGTTTAGGGTAAAGGGTTAAGGTTTTAGGGTAAAGGGTTTAGGGTTTAGGGCTTAGAGTATAGGATTCAAGGTTTAGCCTCTAACCTTTGCGCATAGACTTTAAGGTTTTAGGGCCTATTTTAGGAACTAAGAAGTTGGGTTGCAGCTTGGGCTCTAATTTCTCAGAGGAGCCGTCGGAGGCTTGTAATCATACACGGTCGGTTGTCGTGTCACAAGGGGGTACCATCTAGGGGCTCCAATAATAAGGACTATAGTATTTGGGGTCTATATTGGGGTCCCCCTATTTTGGGAAACTACCATTGAGTGTTTTTGACAAAGGCTCTTGGTCACATCCTGGGATGAGATCTCGGAGTAAGCGTGTGTAGTCTAGCGTTTCAGGGAGCAGTCCTAGTTGAGGGTTGACGGCCAAAGCCATGTAGGTTAAAGCCCAAAATTTATCCAGGTGATATCCTATAGTCTCTTATAAACCACTACTTTGGGCAGCTAGTCTTTCGTAATATGCCTACCTGCTTTGGCGTATAGAGTTTCAGGGTGAATTTGCTCAGGCAGGCCTAGGGTTCTGCTACAGGAAGCAGCCTAACTCCTGGGTCCAAACCTCGCCGAATGTCCGATTTAGGGTGTGGGGTTTAAGGTGTAGGGTTGAGGGTTTGTTGTTTAGGGTTTAGGGTGTAGGATTTGGGGTTTCCGGTGTAGCAAATGCACCCATTACTGTCCTTAGAGCAGTGATGGGCACACTCTGTAATCGATGGCTCCCGCTAACCGTACCGGGTTGACCTACTATAAGGAGTACCCTGAATCAATCTGGAGAGCTGGTCAGTCGAACTCTTCGTATTCGAAAACTGTAGGACCTCACGAGCCTCGTAAACATGGAACTAATCTGCCTCTTAAATAAACTGAGCTTCAAAGCTTCACATATTCAACAAGGCACCCCAAACACATGGGGGGTACCTTGTTTACTCCGGAAATTCTTGACATTAAAGAAGGTAGCCGCAGAAAACGCTCGGCCACATAAAGGGCTTTCCGGCTCCAGGGCAGCATCCAGTGAGAAGCAGCGCGCATATCAGCTATCTTAGTTCCAAACATCATGTCAGGGGCTAGGCTTTAGGCCTTAGGATTCTTGGCAAGAAAGCCACGTAAAGCACTGTAACGCAGTGAGCTCTATGTAGCCACTGGTGTGAGATGTCTCAAACTTTCGTTGGGGCCCTTGATGACAGTCCTCATGTTTTGCAAGCACCAAAGAGGCCCCAAGCAGCAAGGGGAAACAGACACCCGACAACCCACCATTCTTTTATTCCTATTGCTATTACGATTGTTACTATTCGCATTATTGTTATTACTGCTCTTACACTGTTTATTATTATTGTGTTTGTTCTGTGCCTAGACCCTCTGTTACGAAGGTTTTTGAGGTTCCAGCGTCTAGTGGATTGGAGATCATGTTCGTGATGGCTTTGAGTTTTGTGCGTTCGCACCCTCTAAGCCTGGCACCAAACTGGCAGTCCATCCCTAAACCCTAAGCCCAAAACCCAAAACCCAAAACCCTAAACCCTGAACCCTGGAACGTCGCCAGGACTACTTCTTCGGCCTCAGACAGCGCCTTCGCGACACTTTGCTGCATGTGGGGATTGGCCTGAGCTTCAAGAAGCTCAAAAGCTCCCTAGATCATGCTAGTGCTGCATGACCTCTTTACCTTTTTATGCTATGATTCGAGCATGTCCATTTTTCCCAGTACTTCAGGCCCTCTAGAATTTTGCATGTATCAGCGTCTTGGAGCTAACCTGATATCTTGATGTGTAACATGCGAGCTTTGGTGCATGGGTCATCTTGTCTTCCATCCGCCCCGCCGTTAATTAAGCTCGGGGTTTCTGAAAAACTGGGGGCCCCTTCAACGAAGATTCACATACACTGGGGTCGTTAGTGCTGGAAACTACCTCCGAAGACCCTTGATTTGTACGGGCGCGGTGGTACTCTACCTACAAAAAAACCTCAACCGTCATCCTTGCCTTCCTTCTGAATTAATGGGGTTAGGGGTTCAGGGTTTAGGGTTTGGGGTTTAGGGTTTAGGGTTTAGAGTTTAGGGTTTGCGGGGGTGCAGGGTTTAGAGCTGGGGCCTAGGGCCTCGGGGCGAGCGGGCAGGTGAATCCCTATTTGAATCATTGCACAATCGGTTTTATAGGGCTTAGGTTTAGGGTTTATGGCGCCCATATTCCCTCCCTCACCCCCTGATGTACTATTAAGTAGGAGAGGGGAAATGGCACCAGTCCTGGGATCCCCATGCTCCAGGTCTTGGGTCTTTGCTGTAATCCCTCCTCTCAGTCTGTCATTGTACTTGTGGCACATATGCTCAGGGGTTGTTCTGAGATAAGAACCCAAAACCTGCCATTCCACTTTTTGGCCTGCTGCCCTGAGCATCCCGCACGCTGTATACTTGTGCGCGGAGGGGGCTCGTAGAGGGTTTAGGGTGGACGGTTTAGGGGCACTTGAACCCCACTTACCAAGTCCAACTGTCCACTGTCCTGCCGACAAGGATTGGGTCTCGCAACCAGGCCATCCTTGAGATCAACCCGAACCACAATGTGGCTTGAGTTTATGGTTCAGGTTCGGGCCCAGGGTTTAGGGCTCAGGGTTAGGGGTTTCTGAGTTCACGGCTCAGGGTCTAGTGTTCAGGGTTTAGGTCTCCGGGTTTTGGGTTCATTGTTCAGGGTTGGGAGCTTGGGCTTGGTGTTTTAGAATGTGGGGTTGAAGATTTAGTGCATTTGTTCCTTCTACGGCACCTGGCATGATACAGATACCTCTTATGCATACCCAACAGAATCAGGTCCCTAGTTTGAGAGGCCTCTCTTACTTTCAAACTACAGGGGCACCATCAACATTTTTGGGTTCATGTGTTTTTTGTCAGTTCAAAAAGGTAAACCCTTTTCTCATTTCTTTTTCGAAAAAGAGAGGTCATCAAGTCGCTGAAGAATGCCATGGAGACTGCACCAGATGCCAAAGACACGGAAGACATTGTGACTTGTCTCCCACCACCAGGGTCCTCACGTTATTTAGGCTTAGGGTTAAGGACGACGAATGCCCAGATATATATCTAAATTGCGGTTAGATTTTGGGCGAGGCCCAGAGGAAAGGACTGGACGCTTTTTGGCTTGGAGCAAGAGTGCGAGGATGTAGGGAGCATTTTGAGGATCCATTCCTGGACCCCGCTCCTAAGCACCAGCCTGTTGAACGACACTGCTCAGGTGATGATGGTGTATGAGACAGCGGCCCGAATCTCAGGTTCAGAATCCCTTGGACCGCCCCAACCCTAACATGAGACAAAATTACAGAATGTATGCTCCCTGTGTCCTTGTACCTGCGACTTCAGAGAGGGGTTGCATGAGTGATGTGGTTTCTGAATTTTCTTCTTCTTCTCCTTCTTCGTAGGCATCCTTGGGATGGTGAGGAGCCCACCATCTTGAAGTTCACGCTCTTCGGGCTGTAGTCTGACAGCTGTTGGGGGGTCCTATGGGGGACTTAAGTAGGTTAATGGGGATAAATGGGGTTAATGCATTATAGGGGTGATTAACCTACTAGGTCTCCCTGACCCTCCAAGCAGCGATACCTCATGCAGCTGCTAAAGACGCAAATGCAAGAACTCGGCTTAGGGTTCAGGCTTTACTGGGGCATCCTGGAAAAATATTCGCCGGGCCTACTCCGCGACAATTGCGGCACTCGCATGGTCACCATTGGGCGCTCCGTCTCTTAGCTAAGAATCAACACCCCCTTCAAACAGTACTAGACATTCCCTACTATGCGCCAAAGAAGAAACCATGATAAAAAGTAGCTGACTGCCAGTGCTATTCAGGTTCTAGGAGAGCTGCTTTCAAGCTAGGAAGCTCACAGGACCCTGCAATCGCTTTGGAGCCAGACCCTTATGGTACTCAGCCCCGC